CTAGAGGGAGCAAAAGCAGAGAACACTCCTAATAGGGAAGTTGATGCAGGACACTCTTGAGAAAGATTGTGAAAAGAACTGGTTCAACGGGAAGAGACGGTGGAGTTGGGAGCACGGCAGGCAGGGGCAGCCGGGCTGTTCACTATCACGGCTTCTCCAGCTGGACATCTCCGATGTGGAGGCTCCCCACATCCTGGTATGTGCCCTGGAGGCCCCGGGAGATGTCCTCATACATAGAGCAGTCATCGAGGTTCAGGCCCTGGGGTGCAAACAGTTGGTGGGTCTCAGTACCTTGATGCCTGGGTCCCTGGCCCCAGCCAACCCCATGAGGACCCACCATGAGACACCTAAGACACCTGCCCCTAATCTGTCCCCGCCCTCCACTCACCTCATAAAGATTTTCATCTTCATAGTCATCCCGGGCATCCACCCCGAACTTCATGTTCTGCCATCGTTTCTGTGGAGGGTTGGGAGCCTCAGTGAGGGGCCGTGGGGGGAGAATATGTTTGTAGGGCCGCCTGGCTGCCAGGAGATGCTTTACTAGAGCTGGTAAGGGGCATGCTCAAAGCCACATATTGGGTAAGTGGCATGTCTCCCTGGGTCCAAGTCAGTGTCCTTTTGGTTCTCTCCCCTGCCTAATTGTTCTCCATGTGTAACAACAAACGTAGTAAATGGCTGTAGTCCTGTGGCCTAAAGAGAGGCTTGTGCACATCAGAGACTCTGGGAGGACCCCAGGCCCCATCTTCTTCCCTGGCCTTGGCGACATCTGGAGGGCCACATTACTCTTGGGTCGGGGGAGAATATAGCACCCTTGGGGGATAGAGTGAGACAACTTGCCCAGGGAGAGCGGGGGTAGCGTGAGAACATCCCTAGAGAAGGGCAGTGAGGACAGCCCTGCGGGAAGACTGAGCAAGGGTGCCGCCCACCAGTACCATTTAAAACCCTGTTATTGTAGTAATTCATTTACCCGCCAAGTCCCCTGTGAGATGGGTGTATTATTCTCCCGAGCTTTATGTGGGGACCCTCAGATGCCAGGGTCCCAGTCCCAGGTGGCTCACCCTGAACAGCAACAGTGTCCCAGGCACCACCGCACAGAACAGCAGGATAATCCCCTCGGCTGTGATGATGTTGTTCTTGGTGCTCTCCCCCATGGCCAGGAAGGGTTCGGGGTTCGACTCTGTGAGGAGGGGTGCTGCTCAGAGCCCTGGCGCCCCGGCCCCACCCCTCGCAAGGCCCCACTGAGGCCCCCACCCTGCAGATGGGAAATGGGTCAGCGTGTGCGAGCAGGGAGTGAGGATGCCCACAATGCAGGCAATGGCTCCGTCCCCACCTCACAGACAGGAAACCTGGAGTCCCCAGCTGCAAAGTGGTGGGACCCTGGAGTCAGGACTGCCACTCACCGCGCACACGGAGGTAGGTGCCACAGGAGCGCAGGACATTATTGTCATATTTGATTTGGCACCTGTATATGCCCGCATCGCTCCTGTTCACCGATTCCAGGGTCAGTTCACCATTCAGGCCCTTGCCGTGGCCAATCAATTTAGGGGGCCACGTGTAGTTGCTTCCGAGGATGCGCCACCATGTGACATTTTGGTTGCTGCCAGAGCGGCTGTTATTGTACCAGCACGGGAGGTCGACCGTGCTTCCCATGGACACCGTCAGTGATGCCGGGCCCCACTTCACCCACAGGGTCTGGCTCTTGGAGCCTGTGGAGAGGTGGGTAGGTCAGGGACTCTGGATAGGGACACAGGCCCCAGCCCTGGCCTCTGCAGCTGCAGCACTCCTGGGTGTGTGTGGAGGGAGTATAAGGACACTCCTGGGTGGGGGACGACAGGGGACAGAGGACACAGGATGTGGGGAGGGGGAATGGGGGGTACCTAAGGGAGGAGAGAGAGACACCCCTGGGAGGAGACAGAGGACACACCTTGGGGGAAGAGGACATCCTAGGGGAGGAGAGTAAGATACCTGGGGTGGTGACACACCTGGGGATCCCCACTCCCCTCTCTAGTCCCACCTCTTGCCACCCTCCCCATGCCCACTCTGTGCTTTGGTCCCCCTGAACTCGCTGGCATTTGGAACTTGGTTCTGTAGTGCCAGAGTGCCCCTGCCCAGGCAGCTTCTTGCAGAATCAGTTTGGACATCACCTCCTCCTGAAGGCCTTCCTGGCCTACTCTCCCTGCCCCAGCCCCAGTCCTGCCCTGCACCTGGCACTTTATCTTGTGTAACCTTCACAAAACTCTTAGTAGTTTCATTGTCCCATTTTTCAGATGGGACAGCGGAGGCTCAGGGTAGCAGGAGTGGCTGGGGGTTCAAACCTCGGCCCCCTGGGCTTTCTCCTGCCAGTCTTCGGGTCTGCCGTTCTGTGTCTCTGAGCCTGCCCCTCATTCTCTGTAACTTGTGTCAACCTAGGGGTCCGGTGAGTTCAGTCCTTGGACTGGGCTGGGGGGTTAGGGAAGGGCCTCAGCAGGATGGGTGGTGAGAGGGAGCCGAGAGCAGCCCAGCCTGACTGCTCCGGGAAGCCCCAGCTTTCAGTGCCCCAGGCCAATCCACAAGGCTGTTCTGCCTCTTCTGGAGAGGGAAGCGGGGAGGTGAGGAAGAGAGGAGGAAGGGGTGGGGAAGGAGGCAGCAACCTTAGGGTCACGGGCTCCAATCTGGGCTCCCAGTGTAACCTTGGGTGATCAACTGCCTCTCTGAACTCCTTGGTCAAATAGGCAGTCACAGCCCTGCCCGCTGGTATCGCTGGGGGAGGCTAGCGAAGCGGGGGTGCAATGAGGCGCCCCTCCCCTAGCACTGAGGCGGGCCTTCCTACACAGGGGAGTGACTGGGGTTCAAGGCAGACAAAGAGAAAGCTGAGCACTCCCCAAGTTTCCTCCTGCCCCCACCTCGGAAGCTTAGTCAAGGGTAACCTTAGTTCCTTATTTTGACCTGCAGAGAAGAGGGGGTGGGGAAGGCACCTCTAGCCCCTGTCTCCCTCCATGAGGCAGCGGATGTCCCTTCAATGTCACCAAGCCTCTTCCAGCCTCCCATAGGTCTGCTTGGTACAGTCAACCAGACAGACACAGTTTCTACAGGGGCATTTCCCAACTCCCCTCCTGCTGGCTCCTCTCTGCTCCCCTGTTGGCCCTCCGCCTGTGCCCCTCTCCATCCTCCCGGGTCACCGACCCCCTCCACCCAGCAACAGCCTGTTATCACATACCCAGGCCTGTACCCAGGCCAGCAGCAGAGATCAACAGGAGGAAGATGGTGGCAGGTGGGGCTTGGAGGACTCCGGGACCCCCAGGCATCTTCTCCCAGTGGGTTGGTTCGTCTGGGCTGCAGCAGTTCTGGGGTACTAGATCCTACCTCGGTGGGCCCCAAACTCCACCCCACTTCCTGCCCAGCCCTGCCGGAGGAGATCAGCTCCACTGGCCCCACTGCTGGGCCCTTCAGCTGTCAGGCCAGGGGACGGCCCCCTGCCAGTGTGCTTCAGGATGTAAGTGGAGAGGAACTGCTCCCTGCACCTGTGGTGGCCACAATTCCCCTGAGGGGAGGTTGCTTGGTTGGGGAGAAAAGGCCAATTCAAGGCCTGTCTTGTCACTGGCAAGCCCTGGGCCAGAAGCCTGAAAGAGCCAGAGTTCGGGGCGCCTGCTGCTGCGTGTAGGCAGACAGGACAGTGACTCTGAGCTTCGTCTTTGTACCTTACTGGCCTTGGGCAAAACATGTCCCCTGTCTGAGCCTCTGTGTCCTCACTTTGTGGGACTGGAAACTAGGATTTAAAGGGGCTGTGATGCACAGCCCTGAAGACAGCACCTGGCACATAGTAGGTGCTCAGTAAATGTTGGTTACTATTAATGCTCACAAGGAATAAATGAGGCAGGCGACTGGCTCTATGACTAAGTGGTGGCTTCTCTTTCCAAGTCTTGGCATTTTTTTTTATAAAACTTTGTTGGGGAACAGTGTGTTTTTCCCAGGACCCATCAGCTCCAAGTCAAGCTGTTGTCCTTCAGTCTTAGCTGTGGAAGGCGCAGCTCAGCTCTAAGTCCAGTCGCTGTTTTCAATCTAGTTGCGGAGGGGGTGCAGCCCATCATCCCATGCGGGAGTCGAACCGGCAACCTTGTTAGAGGCACAGCGTTCTAACCAACTGAGCCATCCGGCCGCCCACCAGCAGCTCAGCTGCAGCTCAGCTCAAGTCTTTGTCTTTGATCTACTTGCAGAGGGCTCAGCTCACTGGCCCATGTAGGAATCGAACCGGCAACCCTGTTGCTCAGAGCTTGTCCTCTAATCAACTGAGCCACCTGGCTGCCCTAGCTCTTTAAAAAAATTATTATTATAATTATTAAAAAGGATTTTATTGGAGAACAGTGTTTTTTTCCAGGACCCATCAGCTCCAAGTCAATCTAGTTGTGGAAGGCGCAGCTCCATGGCCCATGCGGGGATCAAACCGGCAACCTTGGTGTTATGAGCACTGTGTTCTAACCACCTGAGCTAACTGGCTACCCCCACAAGTCTTGGCATTTTTTTTTGTTTTTTTTAGCTGAGCCATCCTGCCACCTGTTGGCAGCTCACGGGCAGCTCAGCTCAGCTCGGGTTGGAAATCAAACCGGCGACTCTGTTGCTCAGAGCTCGCACTCTTGAGCGAGCTCTTAACCAACTGAGCCACTCGGCCGGCCCCGTCTTGGCATTTTTAATCCAAGAAATGAGGATAAAAATATCTCCCTGGAGTTGTGACACGAGATGATATTTTTGGTACCCAAGGAGTTACAGCCGTGATGGGCTCTTTCTTTTCTTCTTCTTTTTTTTTTTTTTTAAAGATTTTTATTGGGGAATTGGATGGGAACAGCACTGGGGAATTGGGGGAAGGGGAACAAACAAGTTGCTGTTGTTTTTGTTCTTCAGTCTAGTTGTGGAGGACGTTGCTTCACTGGCCCAAGTTGGCACCATCATTGCGCTCTTCCTGGGCGAGGCAGATCAGTCGCCGGCTTCTGGACGGCCGCTCACTGTGGCTGCTGGCCGCTCACGCTGGCTGCTGGCTACACACAGTAGCCCATGACAACCCACTGCAGCAGGGAACTGCAGCCTATGCTGTCGCTGGCGACCCATGGCAGCCCAGCTCCAGGTTGAGCTGTTGTTCAGCATCTTAGCTGTAGAGGGCAGTGTCACTGGCCCTCATATGTGGGATCCGAACCGGGGCCCTCTGGCGTCCCAAGCCAGCTCTTAACCAACGTGCCACTTGGCTGGCCCCTTCTTGACGTTCTTTCATTTCAGCTTCCCCACAAGTGGGCAAGGTAGCCCCCCACCCCATTTTACAGAGGAGGAAACTGAGGCCAGTAAAGGGGAGTGTCACTGTCATTTGCCCAGTGTTATACAGTCTGGTTGTGGAGCAGGGATTCAAAATCGCTGTGTGTGCCCAGGTTCCTTTTAGTATTATTTTAGGTCAACTAGGAGGAAAATGAGGCCTGAGGGCTTGAGATGGGGAATGATATAAGGTTGTTGAAATGTTTGTGAGCAGTTAGGGGACCATCACAGGCACACACACACACACACACACACACACACATGCGCGAAGACACACAGGAAAAAATTCATTGCAGGGAGATTTTTGGTAGCAAAAACTGGGAAACAAATGAAAGCCCATTTACAGGAGAACGGATGCATACATTGTGGTAGAGTCAGCCAATGAAGTAGTACACAGCAGGAGAAAAGGTGGGGCTTCACAAGGCTACATCTGAGAACACAAAAATGAGAAAAAAGATATTGTAGCATGATACAGTTGACTGGTTTTCAAAAAGCAAAACAACACCGTGTGCTGTTAGGGACACATGCATCTGTAGTGAAGGTGTAGAACCTTGCAGGGGAGTAACACCCAATTCCTGAGAGAGGTTTACTGCTGGGGGAAGCCAGGAGGTTTGACTGGGCAGGGTACACAGAGGGCTTTATCTGTCTCCATTTTATGTCGTTTTATTTCTTAAGCTGGGTGGTGGGCTCATGAGTCTTTGTTACACTATTATGTATACTGTTTTGTGTGCTTGAAATGTTTCATTATTTTTTATAAAGCAACTGTCGCCCACACAGAAGAGCATGGGCCTTGAGTCACGATTCCTGCGTTTGAATCTCAGCTCTGCCAACTGACTGGTCTGAGCCTCAGTTTCTCCTCCTGTAATCTTGGCACAATCCCTCCACTTTGTGAGGCTGTGAGAATATTGCACAATGCTTGGCACAGATCCCCTTCTCTGGCCCTGGGGCCCTCTGCTCTTCCAAGGACCCAGGTGTTCTGTTGGAACTCTCAATCTGTAGCAGGTCATTAGCCCCTCTGTGCTTCAGTTCCTCCTTATGATCCTCTCCTAGGCAGAAACCTGGGTTTAGATGCTACAGCCCTAGGAATTCACCTCCTTCTCTATCCCTCGGTTGCAGGCCGTTTCCAGGCCCTCGACTTCCCCCTAGCGGTGGAGAGGCGCGTCTGCAGGATTGCTGGCCCTCTCAGGCCCGGGAGGCAAGTCTGGGCACCTCCACCTCCCATTCATCCAGCACCCCTGGTGCCTGGGGCTGTGCGTGGCAACCAAATGCTTGGCATTGCGTTCTCACAGCAACTCGAAAATGTCTTCAATCTCAATTGGCAAAAGAGGAAACTGGGCCCAGGAGTTCCAGGCCCATCGCCATCCCCAGGAGCATAACCCTTTGTGCCTCATTTTCACTTCCAAGGGACAGTGCAATGTAGTGGCTAGAGCCAGGTTGTCTGGGTTCAAATGCTGGCGTTGCCACCCCCCTAGATATGGGACATCAGGTATATTACCCAAACTGTGACTTTCTCATTCTCCAAACTACAGGTGCTTTTTGGCACCTACTTCACAGGGTTGCGCTGTGATGGTCTATATAGTATTTATAAAGCTCCTTGCATGTGATAGGCTCTATTTGTTCAGTACAAATTTTCCAGCACTGACGAACTCCTGAGCTGGAAGGGATGACAGTTTCATTCCTCACGGAGTGTAGGACTGTTCGGTTTGATATTCTTCCCACTTTCAACAAGTTTGGTTAACACCAAATGGCCGTTTGGTGTTGCTGCCCAGAGCCAAAGGAACTATCTACATGGTATAATGTTCTGAAACCCTCTGGAGTACGCAGAGTTGCAAACAGGATCAGTGGGTCTGGGGGAAGAAGTTGCTCAGGGTCGCACAGAATTAGGGGCAGAGTTGGAATTTGAACCCATTTGTTGTTTGAAACCCAGGCTTGGCACTGGAAGGAAATGCCCAGTATCTTCGACTGGGGCAACCTCAGCCAAGCCCAGCATTTTGGTTCTCCAGCTGGGAGGTGGGTCGGGTCACATGGGGCAGTAAGGTGTACCTTCCCAAACTTGTCCCTCCACCGCTGGGCACATGCCCATTGGGCATCCTTTGGTTCTGCCGCCCAGACCAAGGGCTGTCACAGGCGGAGCTCCCGCCCGACTGGAGCCGAGAGCCAGTCGCTGTGTAGGCTGTGACGATGGGAGCCCGAGCTTAGCTTCCGTGCAGGTGCCTCGCGGTCCCTTCCCTTGCAGGGTGTTAAGTGGCAGTCAGGTCCCAGCCTGCTCCTTGGGACCTCTGAAGAATAACCCAACCCAACTCCAAGGTGGGTACAACTAGCTCCATTTCACAGCAGGGCACAAGGCCACCGAGATGGCAAAAAAGTGAAAGCTCAGGCAGAACTATCCTACTCGTGTAGGCCAGAGAAAGGAGGTACATAGCAGGCCCCCACAACTCCCTCTGTGTGAAGGCCATGTCCTCATCCACCTCCAAGGCAAAGGCATCTGAGCCCCAGGGCCCCTCCTGCTTAGTCTCAGTGGCCCAGGCACCAACTTAAAACAGCCACTTCTTTCAGTTTCTTTTTCCAGAGAACTGCAAAGGCAGGATATGGGGGAGACTGAAGGACTTCTGGGTCCTGGCCCACCCACCGACCAGCTTGGAAATCTTGCCCACTTGGGGCAGAACTGTTTGAACTGGGAAGGCTGGGCCTCAGGCTTTGGCAGCCACAGCCACCCAGGGACCCATGGGCCTTTTCTTTCACAAGGGAAGGGAAGTGCTCCTTCCTCATGCCCTCAAACGTAAGAGCAGCAGCCAATCAAGAGACCCGGCCGGACCAGAATTACGAATGAGGCAATTTATTAACCCAGCATCATTTGTTCTAATGCTTCTTGTTGGCAGCTGCCACCTGTGGGAAAAGATGGAAGAGTAATTAAGATCATCTACGGGGTCTGTGTTCCAGCACTTTGTACTTAGCTACCCACTGCCCACAGGACACCAGGCGTCCTGATTTGTAATCATTTAATCCTCACAACCCCAGATATTTCCCCATTTTACAGACTGGGACTCAAGGAAAGGAATGCTGGAGTGGGATTCCAATACTGCTCAATGCCCTGTGCATCCACACCGATGTCTGCGCCAGGCCCTGCTCTGGAAAAGCTCACCTCCTTTCAGGTCACCCCTGACTCTTAAAGGGCTGACACCTTCCTTTCTTTTCTGACACTTGACTAAGTGACTCAATACTGCAAGGCTAGGAGGCCTGAGGCAATGATACAGAAAGAAACCAACAGTTGGGTTTACGCCAGACCCTGGGGGCTCCTGCTTACGTAGTTCGCTGAATCCTCACCACTACCCTCTGAGGTGGTAGGCAAGAGATCACTCTAGACAGGGAGACTGGCTCCAGCTCAATCAGCTCTGTACCAGTGTCCAGTCAGTCAGTCATCTGAATGGAGACCTGAGTCCTGAGCCAGCCTGCCCACCTCCCCCATCTGGTGCTCAATAAGCATGAAGAATGAGGAAACGTGCAGCCAGAATCGGTGGAAGGCTGACCTGGAAAGAGGGAGTTGTATGCAGGAGCAGGACCTGAACAAGCAGCAGCCCAGCGGCACCACGGTTTCCCTTTACCCTGGGCACCCACATTTCTATCCAGCTCCAGCAAGAAGTCAGTTAAATGCTTTCTCCTGCCCGCTCCCCAGGAAGCCCTCCTTTGACTCCCACCAGCCTGGGCTGTGCCTATCTTCCAGGAGAGGAAATTCTGATCTGACGAAGCCCAGGCTCAGGAAACACCAAGGCAGTGATTGAGGGACCCAGCCCCAGCCTGCAGCCAGGCCTCACCTGTCCGGCGATTCTGTCCAGATCTCTCTGTCCCTGAGGTGTCAGTTTGCGGCCCCTGGGGGAGAGAAGGGTCATGCAGGCCCTGGTGAGCGCAGGCTTGCAACTCCTTCCCTGTCAGGCCCCTTTTGGATGGAAGCCAGGCTTCCCAAAAAGGCACCTGGCCATGGGACCACATGCTGCCAGCCAAGTCCCACTGACGGAGTCCCTACGAGTTGCATTCTAACAAGCTGGGGGCAGGAGTGGGAGCCTCCCCCGCCCCCAGAAGCTGATGGGGTGTCATTTGTGCAAGCATTAGATCAAAAGCCCCGAAAAATCAATTGGGAAAAGTTAACGAGCAGGCTAATGAAAGTGGACAGTCACTAAATTACCTTCCTGGAGCCCGGGGTAGTCAGCTACAGTGGTCGGGTGGAGCCCTTGGCTGTTTGCTTTTCTGCAGAATCCTTGCCCACCTGAGAGGCAGGCGCAGACTGTGCAGGGACAGACCCACACCTCTCTACATGGGGGGACTAAGATGGCCCTCGCCAACTTCATTATCAGTGATCTGGACCCAAGGGCTCCTCCATCACCTCCCTTGCTCACCCATCCTGGTCCTTTTCCACCATCTTCAGCCCCTCCAGGGCTTGGAGGACACGACGGGCCACGCTCTTGGAGCCTCTGCTGAAGTGGCTGGGCATGACACCATTTCTCTGCCGCCCTCCATAGATCTTGGTCATGGAGCCGACCCCAGCACCACCGCGGAGGTACAGGTGCCGTGCTGTGGAAGCTGGGTGGGGTGCGAGGGGAGACAGGACCCTTCTCAGGCAGAGAAGACTCCTCTCCACAGCTGAGGCAGGCTGGGGAAGGGCTTCGCTCAAGGTCACACGTATATAGTTATGTGTGGGGCAGCTATTTTATAGCCAGGAAAACTGAGCACACACACCAAGACCGAGTATCTGACCCCCACCCCCACGTCCCATGGCCAGCCCAGGAGGCAGGGACACCCTAACAGTGGAGGGACTGCTACAGCAATGTAACTGGGCAGGGAACCCCCCACCCCTGGCCAACCTTCTTAGCTGTTGTGCTGTGAAGCTGAACCCGACGGTCTGTGGGTAGAGCCTAACAAATGTTTTAAGCCACGACTGTCCATTGCTGTAAGCCTAAGGGGCAGAAGAGTAGAGAAGGGACCTATTGCCACTCGAGTGCAGCTCTGAGCTCCCTCAGCCCTAGCAATCTTGGGGGTAATAAGGAGGCAGGGCCAAGACCACAACCTGGACTGTGCATCCACCCCTCCGTGGAAACAGAGGCTCTTGTCCCTAGACTGGTTTAGGAAAGTCCCTGGTCCACCGGGCTAGGCTCCTTGGAAATGCTCTCACACATCTGCTCATGTGGAGCACTTGCCTGCCAGGCTCTGTGCCACCTGCTTTTCACATTCTCTGAGGTATTAAGACAGCCTTAGGAGCTGGCCTGACTGTGTGGCCATGGCAAGTCACCTACCCTCATCTGAGAACCAAGAGTAACGATCCTTCAGACCAGGGTTATTGTGAATACGTTACACATGAATGTGTCAAGTGCTGTTCTCCTTTAAAGAAAAAGAAAACAGGCTTCCAAGGGTACTTACTGGCCTTATGAGGCACAGCTCTGGAGGGAGAGCTCCTCGAGACTGTTCTGGTTTACCACCTCAGGAGGCCACTGAGGTTCGAAGAACTGGGACTGACGTACCCAGACTTCAGTCATCACATGGCCCTGCTTGGTTGGGAGCTCAAAGGCAGGGACTCCAGGCCACCCAGAATGTTGTAACTACTTGCTACTAAGAGCCTGCTGCCGGGCCACATCCATGACCCTCCAGTGCTGAGCTGAGGATGGGTTATTCCTCCCTTCCAGCTGCTGTTCCTAGCAGTTCCACACTTGTTCCCAGTCCCCTCCTGCCCTGATTGTCTTCAGATATAGCCATGGGCTTCTTGGAGCCAACTGTGCAGCCTCTCTGCGGTCTCTCTCCCTGCAGCATCTGCTCACTTAAAAACCACTCTCGGGCTGGCCGAGAGGTGCGTTGCTTGGGAGTTGGCTTGGGATGCCAGCTCTGAGCAGCAGGGCCCTGGTTTGGATCCCACATATGAGGGCCAGTGACAGTGCCCTCTACAGCTAAGATGGTGAACAACAGCTCGACCTGGAGCTGGGCTGCCGTGGGGCTAGCTGGCAGGCGGCTGCCTCACCCGGGAAGACTGCAATGACAATACCAACATGGGCCAGTGAAGCGAAGTCCTTCAAACTAGACTGAAGAACAAAAGGACAGCAACTTGTCTGTTCCCCTTCCCCGATTCCCCAATAAAATCTTAAAAAAACCCCAAAAAACCAAAAACCAAAAACCAACCAAAAAAAATCCACCCAACCAAACAACCCACTTTCTTTGGTTCTTTCTATGCCAATCTTCCCCCTCACCTTACCCTCTACACTGCCCCTCTTCCAGGCACCAAACCACCTACTGCCTGCCAGGATGAAGAGTCACACTTGGTATAAGTGTATCACCCGCTCTGTGGATGCAGGGGTTCTTATCCCTTGACTTGTCACCACCACCTACCATCTTTTGACCAAGAGAATGACATCCCTGGAAAACCCCACCCTTTAAGACCAGTGCAAATGCCCAACACCAAACGCCACCCCTCTTGCATCCGTCATTGGCCATGCCCTGGTTCTGGGTGGAGATCTGCTCTCCCACTAGGGCTGTACCCAGGATTGGGGAAGAGGACAGACTAAGGGAAGGGTAAGATGAACATTCCTATGTACAAAGATGCCAGAAGAGGCTGAGCATGAGAAATGGGACATCCAAACTCGGTCTCGCCGAGCTAGGATCAGTGCTGGCCTGAGCTTGACATGGAAAGGGGTGGCCAAGTCCTGAGCTATCTGGTAGACAGGGTTTGAATTTCAACACCACTCCTCGTCAGCTGTGAGAGTCCACCCACCTTTCAGGTTTGTGGTGTTTCTGAAGTAAACGGCTTACTTAAATCTTAAGCAGTGGCTGGCAGCGAATGAACTCCAGTAAAGCCTAACTAAGTTTCTTCAATGGGGTCGGGTGGGTTTAAATTTTCTTAACACTGTATAAAATTACCTGGTATGCTGTCAGATAGTACAAGGGAGAAACGTATTAACTTCACAACTTGGAAGCTTTAACAGTCAAAAAACTGAGTTCTATAAAATACTGACCTTTCTCACCCTCCTCTCCTAAGCCCTTGAGACCCAGCCCCCAGCCCCACCTTCTGAAGTGGTGCTGTAACCACACAAATCCAAGCCATCCAGCTGGTGTTTATGAGGACCATAGTGAGCTGGGTGCTGTCACAAATGGCATCTCCTTCAGTCCCTCCAAAGACCTTCTGCTCCTTGGGGTGGCAACCCACCCCTCTTGGGAAATCTTGTTCAGGAATCACTCTACCTCAAACTGTGGAGAGACCATAAAGGCTCATCCAACCCACTGAGAGTCTAGTGAAGGGAGGTCAGCGGTGTGTCCCACTAGGCCACCAGGTGATAAGGGTCATACTTCACTCAAGCATGTGGCAGACCAAGCAACACCTTGAAAATGTCTTCACAGCTCAGCGTCTCAACTGCTGGTTTTAAGTTCAGATTCGTGGCCCCATCCTGACCCTATTGAGTCATAAAGCGGGGAATAAAGACTCCCAGATGTATTTTGCCCTTGACCTTTCTCTGTTCAATTTCTAAGGGGGGAAAAAAACACAATCTCCCCAAAACAAACAAAACTTTCCTGACCTTGATTCATTCCTTGACTTGCTCCTGCAATGCCTCCCAGAAGTCGTTCCTTCCACTAACACAGCAGCCCTGTGCAGGGGTAGGACAGACCAGCCTCCATCCTATAATAAAATGCACTCAGGTGTCCCAGTTCAGCAGCTGCTCACTACCAGATGTCCAAGACAGACACTGGATTCTCACCCCCTTCCCAAGCAGGCCCTTCTGAGAATCCAGAAATCAAGAGGCTTATCTGGGGCCGCATGGCACTGCCCCCTTTACAAGTGGTCTTCCCTGGACACTGCTTATCCTCTTACAGCAGAGGTCTCTACTCTGTAAACACAGGTTCTTTCTAGCCCTACCTCGCCCCTCACCCTATGCCACTGCCCGGGGACTCCTTACTCCTAGCTCTACCCCTGTTCTGGACCACCCTTAGGAATGCCCTGCCCTCTTTATCCCCCACACCTGAGATTAAGACCTGCCCACTCCAGACTGACTCCTATATGCCTCCAGAATTTATCCCAGCCCCACAATGCTGCTACTACCCCCACTACACATTAGCCCCAAACCCTGGAGGGGGCAAAACAGGTCAAGCCTCCAGGACCCAGTGAAAGGAAAAAGTGAATACTGCACAGACTCTGGTTTTGGAGTCAGCCTGCCAAGCCCTCCCAGGGTCACTTCACCTGTCTGTGCCTGTTTCCTCTCTGGTAAATGAGTGTCTCCTATGACTCCAACTTGGCCAGAGCATAAGCTGAGCACTAAACTAGGAAGGAGAACTCTAGACTCTAGAATAGAGGTTGGCAAACATTTCCTGTAAGGGTCCAGACAGTAAATACCTTACATTTTGTAGGCTGAATAGTGTCACAATTGCAACTCTGCTGAGGATGTGTCCCCAACAAAAATGTACACAACAGACCTTGGTCTAGAGCTACCACCCTATGCTAATAGAGCAGCTGGGAAAGTGAGGTAAAAAAAGGGAGCTTTGGAAACCCCCGAGGAAGGGAGATGAGGAGGCAAGTGAAGGATGCACCCCAGTGCTAAGATGATGGGGGAAGAGGTATGGTGGTGGGTAGAAAGGGGCCACAGCAAATGTAAATTACTGAGCCTCAACTCCATTTCTTGTTGATCTCGCCCCACCTAAAAAGTAAAGTATGAAATGCTGCCAATGGAAGAGAGCTGGAGGCCCCCTGCTTTAGTAATGACAAGGGTGGGGTGTAGTGTGGCACCGCTAGCTGGCAGACCCCAAACATGTCCCTTAACCTTCCTGACATCAACTACATAACAGCACAGCACCAGTTCCTGTTTGGGAGATTTTTGATAGGTGCAGATTAAACAAAATATGGACGTATATTCACATGACCAAATGGGAAAACTATGCGTCTTTCTCCTAATTTTAGATACAAAGCTGCCCTGACCTACTGACTTGTGGGGCACTGCCGAAGACCATTCAGGACCAAGCAGCCTCGCTTCCCAAGATGGGTGGTGGGACAGTGGTCTCGTCCAGGCCTCATCACTGTTGTGTGCTCAGGGAAGTCAAGTCGGCTGCTCTTCACCAGCCCCATTTTCTTTCTAAAAGCATAGTTGTGGGTGGGTAGTAGATATGCTACCCACTCTTCCCACCTCACAAGAGTTAAACCTTTTAGTCCTCAGGGATCAGAGGCGGTGGCTGAGTCATAGTGGCACCTGTGTCCAGTCTAGGGCCTGACAAGAGTGGACTCCATGGACATCTGATGCATGAGAGCACCACCAATCTACAAAGTATGTGTTCTGAAGTGCTGGGCAACTTGTACCAAGGCCAATTCTTCTCAAGGCCATTGTGAAGTTTTGTCAATTTCCAAACCCTGCATCTCACTTTATAGAGGAGGAAGGTTGGAGAGGCTGAGGGCCCTTAATAAAGGCCTGTGCAGAAGCTGCCACCTCAGCACAATCCAGCACTGACCTCCCCGCTACCCTCCAAGTTAAGCCTTCATGGGGGTGAGTTTAGAGAAACTTGAAATGCCAAGGACAGATGAGAACTAGTACTGTCCAGTCAGGGGCTACACTTGCAATCCTTCCAAGCTCTTATTACTGAAGAATAATAAGAGGGGGACTGGCAAACAATCAGAGGATGACAGTAAGGTTTTCTTCTGAGCATTTGGGACTTGTCAATATTTACAGCAAGAAGTGACCTGGCCAGATCCCCAGCCACTTAATTAGGAACGACTTGCTAGAGAGAGGAAGCGCTACTGTGATGATCTGTGTAATAAAAATAAAGATGGCTGACTTCTCTTCAATGTTACTCTGCAACAGGCATGCGTACTTTAAAGTAGTTTAACTGTATTAAGCTCATTGGATACAACCATAATCTGTATTGGTGCAATTGATAGCCCCATTTTAGAGATGGGAACACAAGAGGCACAGGCAGATGGAAGTCCCGCAATTAAGTGGCAGGGAAGAATCTGAACTCATGGAGTCTTGATTCCTATGGACATAGGAAGGACAATAACGCCTGTCTCTAAAACAAACCATCTCTAAGCAAAATACAAACACTCATTTGTCCCTGGGTTTCCCTCAAGGCTCAACAAATGAAGAAACAGATTCAGAGCATGAAATTACTGAATGGCACACAAAGCATGCAGTGACAGAGTTAAACGTTTCTTCTCGCTTGCTATCTTGGGGGGGGGAAGGGCAGGGTGGCGGCATGAATTAAGAGCTCAGAGGGAACAGGAGGTAATGGTCTGTGCCAGGAGTCACTCAGCTTCCCCCCACCTCGCCGAAGGCCCCAGTTCCTTACCAGCTCGTGTGTAGAACCAGTTCTCATCGTAGGGAGCAAGCTCTTTATGCTTGGCCAGCTTGACAGTGTCCACCCATTCAGGGACTTTCAGCTTCCCGGACCTGGGATCCAGGCAGTTAAGAAAGACACAATTCAGGAGTCTCCACAAGCCCCTTCATTCCCTAAATCCCCTCCCCTCAACACGACAGGAGCCGGATGTGTCCCAAAACGTAAACAAAGAAGCTGAAACTCAAATACAATTCAGGCCTCAGGTAGAAAGGGTGTACTTCCACGCTGAGACCTCCAATAAGTCTCCCCTACTAAAGGATGGCACTGCGTACCCTGAGAGATCTGGCAAAGATCACAGCCTCCACCCACTTTGAACCCCAGTCCCCACTCACTTTTTGAGGAATGCTGCCAGAGCTCTGACGAACTCCTGCTGGTTCACGTCTTTTACAGTAACTCCAGGCATCTGCGGAAGAACCAAGCATGTGAACAGAAGACTGGTGGAGACGACCAACAGTGGCCGGGACCAAGCCCCAAAGCGACCTAAACCGCTGCCCTCCCCAGACTTTCGAAGGCCCTACTTCAACTCCGAGCCCTAACGGTCCCGGCGCCTCGAGTCCTGGAGTTCACCGACGCCCAAGGTCTTTATGGACCGCAGTTAACACTGCCCGCCCGCGTCTGTGAAGACGCTGTATGAGCCCAGTCCCTAATTTTGGAGAGCCTCTGCACATCCCATTGCCTACTAGGCCCAGTCTCGGTTCCGGACCGCGCTAACCCGGCATGTCCGGGCCTGCCGCTCGCACGTGGCCGCGGCTGCAGGGGGCGGGGTCGCCCAGCGCAGACACCAGGAGCCCCTTTGCGCGCGTTCGGGAATGGGGAGTTGGGTCCTGACGCCCCGCGCCCACCCTGTACCAGAGAACCCGCCTCACCGTGCGGCCTCCGCGCTGCCAGCCAGGGGAAAGGGAGCAACGGGGTTTCCCGGGCGCACAAATCGGGCGTCGGGTCTCGCGAGGGTTCCGAGAGCTCGCGAGAGCAGAATTAGAACAGGCGGCCCCGCCTCTCTCCGGGCGAATGTGGCTTCGCTTCCGCCGCTATGGCTTTGTAACAAGTGAAGGAGCGGAAGGCAAAGGGAAAAGCTAGACGCAGGGGCTTGAGAGCTTGTTTCTTCCTCACCCTTGCTTCTCCCGGAGCGTAATAGAGGAGAGGGTTTCCGTCTTGAGCTGCGGGATCTGGTTTTGTTTTCGTTGATCAGGGCTGGAAGGAACAGCTGCGGAGGAGACTGTGATGGCGGAAGTTAAGAAGTTGGGTGGGCAGGAAAGAGACCTAGCCACTTCTGGCGCTTCCAGCGGGACGGACCGCCCCTCCCCCCCCCACGTTTTCCGCGTGGAGTGGCTTTTCTGGCCGGAAGTGGGGGTAGTAAGGGCGGAACTGTGATGCGGAACCCCGGGAAAGGGCAAGGAAGAAATATGTTCACCATCTTCCCTCTTTCTACCACCAGTACTCGCGAGAGTAGGAGATTGACGCCCCACCCTTCTCAGGGCGGAAATGGCTTCACCACAGCCCAGGCAAACGAAATGACAATGAGGCCCTGAAGGCGGGGAGCAGATAAGGGCAGGGACAAAGAGGTGGAGGCGGGACCTTGGGAGAAGTTAGTTCAGCTCTGCCTCCTAGTGTCTGAATCTGTTTGTTCAGCCCTTAGGCTTATCTAGCCCCTTTATATTTACTACCTCACTGGCCTGTGCAGCTTTAGGCTGTCCACTTACCCTTTCAAGTCTTCAGTCTTCTCCATTAAGAAAAAGGGGAAAAAATTTAAATGGAGACACCGAGATCCCAATTACCTGACCTTTTAAAGTGCTTCTGTACATGGTACTTACTCTGTGCCAGGGACAGGTAAACATTATGTAGTATTTCGTGCAAGATCTAGTTAAATCCTTAAAAGTTTCAAGAACAAAAGAAACAAACCTATAATAAAGTTGTTAACTTGCTGCAAAAATGGAAACATTTAAATGTGTGTAGCTGTTTTCTCAGATATAAGACTTTTTTTAAAGACTAACAGTTTGAAACATCAGAATGAACAATACTAATTTATTTCCACAGTGAGACACTGTGTATGCAAAACGTCTTAATTATTAATAAGCCAACATGTTATACCAATATGTTATAATTAAAACCAACTTTCTTAGTTGGTTCAGGTTGCTGTAACAAAATATAGACTAGGTGGCTCATAAATAACAAATTTAT